GCTCCTCGGGCTTATGCCTCCGTAAGCCGACGGACAAGACAGGGATGAAGGCAATCCGTCCTGCTCATAGGACATGTCCGTTCAGTGGGGATTTTTCTGAACATGTGGGACGAAGATGCGAGGTATGTTACTCCGACAAGGTGCATCCCCCGTATCTGCACGGTGGCTCACGACACCGTAGAAGGGAATCGGCGATACAACTCAAGCCCGCATCTAATTAGCGGCTCTCCCAATTTAAGGCATCTCATTGCACGGTTTTCTATGATCAGACCAACGCGTTTGGGGGCAGTTCACTCGCTGCATGTGACGATGCCGGTTGCCACACCTTGACCCACAAGACGCGCTCGTTGGACATGCATATAATCACAATCGCGTTACATCGTTGGATTTTGCCGATGGGGAGGGGCATTTCAGAGCGAGGGGAGGGCGTGCTACGGGGAAATCAGGCAGCGCCCGTAAAATACACGCGCAGGTTCGACAGTTGCGCTCTTGCTCCCTAGGTTGATCTGCAGCAGAAAAAAGTGGACGGTCAACTGTTTCTGCGCACGCGCCCCCTTCGTTGAGACCTGGGGGCCAAGGTTAATGTCGGTGCGACGATCTTCATGGATGGCATTGCTCACGAGTGCGTCGCGAGCACCTCGGGGGAGATGAGATTGGCCGTCGCCGGCGCGAGTTTGAACGTGGATGCGCGCCTGTACCGGGTAGGGGGGCACAAAGCATTATTACGCAGAATATCGTGCCCCGATTTGTCGGAGTTGGGTCGCAGGCGCAGTCTAAGATCTTCACATCTACACAGCATGCGCGCAGCATGCCAGGTCAAGTCTGTCAGCGCGCACCGCATCTTGGCATGCAGTCTCACCGTAACTCGACAACCTCGCATCAAAAGCATGCGATAAAGGAGGGTATGCAGATGGCCTGGTATTGCATTATTGCATGGGCAAGTTTTGGTTTCGTCCTCGGGTTCATCGGAGCATCTCGTTGGTTCTTATCCAGGCTCGTGTTCAAGGAGTAGCCTTAAATGGCGCGCACCAGTTCGCCGCCGCGGCTGGAGATGACGATCCAATTGACGGTCTGTTACCGATGTGGGGGTGCGGGGGGGAGGTGGGGGGGAACTATTGAGAAGAGAAGCCGTTATAGAACATGTTCGACCTGATGGGGGCACTGAGTACACGACTCTGCAGACGCGACAAGTGCGGCGACGGCTTGGCATGGCCCCAGCACAGCTAGAGCTACGCATGCGGCGCCTCGCATGGCTCCAGCAGGTGGCCAATCATCCGCGCGATAACCAGCAACTAACTGCAGCTATGTTCGGGCAGCTCACAGAGGAGACGGACCCAGCCATCCATGAGCGGCAACTGCATCGGGATTCAGAAGGACAGTTTCGGGGCAGTCCATGGGCGCTACAAGCAGCGATTGAGATAGCCACCATCGCGCATCTTGGAAATGGCACAGAATTTCTGCATGATATCGAGGGTAATGTTTCATTGGCGTCACCCCGCAGTTCTGTGAAAGGCTCCAGAAGATCAGCGTGGCCAAACCACGTCGTTGTTTTGTAGGGGCGGGGGGATTTGCGGGTCAATGCTGCAACTATCACTGCCAACGCGCATGATGAATCCATGGCTGAACCACCACCTGCGCTAGTCTGGGCATGCAACGGAACTGCCAGCAGTGGGGAAATGCATGGGTTCACGTTTTATTCGCAAACCGCGCGGCATACGCGCGTGCTTTTTGCGAGAGGAGGTAGTCGCGGACATCGAGCATTGAGCCAACAATTCCCTACCATCACGAACCAATGCCCTTGGTGCATGAGCGCACGTGCGACGCGAGCGATGTCGCAACGGCACGTCTGACGGCTTTTTTTCTATAAGGACCATGCATGTCGCTGCGATCGCAGCCGCGTGCATCACGAGGCAGTTCGGCCCCTGGCACTGCCTTGCCTGGCTTGCGGCCTGGAGCACGTTGCGCCCAAGCCGCTTCAGCGGCATCTCGGACCGCGCGTCGGCCTGCCCAGCGCAGCCCAGCCAGCTCGTTTTCACGGTGGATGGCGCCGTCGGGGATCGCTGTCGACCAGGCGAAGCTCGCGGAGGCCCGGAAGAGGCTGGCAGCGGACTCTCCAGAGAGATCTCCTTCGGCGGCGGCTCCCACGGCGAGCGCGCCCCCAGGCGGCGGCGGCAGAATGCTGCAGCAACTTCGGCGGCGCTCGGGCGGGCGGGGGGGGGGGGGGGGGCGCAGCCCTGGGCGCCGACGAGGCCGACGGGGGGGCGGCGAGCGACGTGGTGAAGCTCCAGCTCAACGCAGCGCAGCGAGCCAGAGCGTTGGAGGCGGGATGCCCGCTGTCGACACGGTTGCTGCCGATGGGCGACGATCTAAACGCCGTGGCGATGGCATCTCTCGAGCAGTATATGGACATCGCCAGGGCGAAGCTCGCGGATCATGGACAGGGCCATCCAGGTCTCGTCGCGGCGCTGGGAACGCCAGCCACCGACGCCCAGCTCCTGCGGGAGGCCGGGGTCAAGAACGAAGCCAAAGTTTTCGCCGATTCGTGCCCATGGTCAAGGGGCTGCCGATGGCAGCGGCGGCGGAGCATCTAAGCACTGGGGTTTCAAAGCAGTCTGCGCGGAGAAGGGCGCTCCTCAGAAAGCGCGGCAGATCCGCCGCGCGTATTTCGTGAACGCGTGGACTGTTCTCGGCGGGGGAGATGGGCAGCATGCCCGAGATAGGCCCCCCTCCCAGGGCAGCGCAGGAGAGGAAAGCGCAGGGCAGTCTGGAGCGGTTCCCGCGCAGCGCCGAACACCGTAGGTCAGTGAGCAAAGCACTGTGCACCAGGGTGGAGAAGTGAGCAGTGGCGCTGTGAGGCCTGGGCTCGGACAGACCGTGCTCGAGAGAGAGAGCGAGTGCGTTTTCGAGGCACGTGGGAAACCCCTTGACCCACCTGTCTGTCCAGAAGAGACGACGAAATGCGTACAAGGTGGCACATGCATTGTTTCCCATATGTTGTGTGTAGCGTTTGTCGCAGATCGTCTCACTCAGCGCGCGTGTCTTTCATCTTGTCGCATAGTATCTCGTCTTGCCCGGTGTCTTCCGCCTGCTACAGCCATGGGTCCTGGAGAGGGAACCGCGAGGGACGGCACTTGTTTGCCATCGGCGGGGACACTGCGCTCCGATCCCCGTCCATCGGTCGCTATCGCTTACAGCTTTCGGGCACTTGACCTCCGATGCTTGCCGTCGCCGCCTCTTCCTCCTCCTCAACCTCCTCCTTTCCCTCCTCCTCTCCTCCTCCCTCCCTCCTCCCTCCTCCTCCTCTCCTCCTCCTCCTCCTCCTCCTCCTCCTCCTCCTCCTCCTCCTCCTCCTCCGTCCTCCTCTTCCTCTCCTCCTGGTCCTCCTCTCCTCCTCTTCCTCCTCCTCCTCCTCCTCCTCCTCCTCCTCCTCCTCCTCCTCTTCTTCAAGCCTTGAACATGAGGGCACGCCGCCCTCCTCCTCCTCCCCTGTCCTCCAGCAGGGGAGGGCAGTAGTAATGAGACGGAGAAGCCGGCATAGGAGGAGAGGGGGGAGGAGGAGCGGCAGCGGCTATCAGGAGCGGAGGGACAAAGAGAGGGGGACGGCCGATGATGTTGAAGTGGTCAGGCCTCTGGGGTGCCGCAGAGAAGGGTGCAGAGGGCGCACACGCGCCTGCACATGACCCACACCAAGAAGCGACGCGGGTCAAGCGGAGGAGCAGGGTGGCCCCTTCACTACTGCCCCCTTCACCACTGCCCCGCTCCGAGAGGTGGGACGCGCTTCGAACAGGGTCGAAGCCGACCGAGGCTGCCGCGATCACTCCCTGATCCCTGCAGAGGCCGCGGCCGCACCAGCTGCAGCGGCCTCGCCGGCGCCCAACGGCCGCACTGGCGGACGGGCCCCCGCGGGGGGCCCCGAGCCGCACTGGGAGGCATGCTGCCTGCGTGGGTCGGCATCGGCCCAACCCAGGAGGGGCCGGCCACACAGTGGGCATGAATCCGGATCCCGGGCGGCGGGACGGGGCGGCCCCTTTCGGTGCCTTTCGAGCTGGGGGGGGGGGGCGTGCCTGCGAACCCGCGCCGTGCCCGAGTGCTGCAGTGCGAGAGAGGCGCCGCGCCCGCGCTCTGTGCCGTGCGCGTGCTGCAATGATCGCCCCCCCTGTTGTTTCAATAGATATCCTATAGCATGCTTATAGCTTGTCTATAAGGCGGATGATCCTCTATTGCTGCGGCCAAACTACATAAGACTTCTTGGTGTTAGAGTGCCGCAATACAGTTTATGTTAGAATTTGCAAATCATATACAAGTTAGGTGCAACGCTATAGTACTTCGGAACAAATTCATTAAGCACGTATAGATATTTATAACATACAAAATAAGCCAAATAGCTATGCTAATAGATAGCTAAATAGATGCAAATAGAGGCCGCTAATAACTTAAATAGTGTTTTTTTTTGAAGCAGTTTTTGCCCCCCCCCCCTCCCCCCTCCCCCTCCCTCTGCTTGCATTCCCGCCTCCTCGCCCTTTTCCGCCTCCCCAGCATGCAGGGCTTGCGCAGCGGTCAACCACTGCAAGCGGTCACCCGACCATTTCGACCAGCGCAAGCGATCATCTGCCCCTTTGCTTGCGCAACCGTCGACCCACCAGCGGTTTCCCTACCGCTTTGCCGAATAGCGGTTCCCTACCGCTTTGCCGAATAGCGGTTCCCTACCGCTTTGCCGAAGTAGCGGTTTCCCTACCGCTTTGCCGAAGTAGCGGTTTACCTACCGCTTTGCCGAAGTAGCGGTTGACCACCGCTTTGCCGAAGTAGCGGTTGACCTACCGCTGTGCGAAGTAGCGGTTGACCTACCGCTGTGTGCAAGCACGACGCAGGAGGAGGAGGAGGAGGAGGAGGAGGAGGAGGAGGAGGAGGAGAAGTTGAGGAGGAGGTTCTCACCTGTTCTCGGAACAGCCACGCCTTGCTCAAGGCGTGCAGAGGGGCAGGGGCAGGGTTCGGGCGCAGGCATGGCGGCGCCCTCGCAGCTGGTCCTTCGCGCGCGCGCCAGCACGAGCTTGCTGGCGTCGCTTCGGGGTACGAAAGCCTTCGGCCAGGTCTCGAGAGCGGAGGCTGCCCACTTGAAGGCTTTGATCCAGTCCTCTGGGCACGCCGATCGGGACCAGATACAGGCGCTCGCAGAGACGATCCGTGCAGCAGGCTTCCAGGGGAAAGACCAGTCCGATCTCTTGGACGCGGTCGCTGAGGTCGCGGCCGCAGCGCCCGCGGCCCCCGAGATGCCCAGCAAGGGAGGACAGCAGGATTTCGAATCTGCCGTCTTTTTTGTGCCGAAGGCGATGTGGGACCAGCTGGCCAGGACAGCGAATACCGAAGAAGTGTTCGCCTTGTATGGCAAGCTCGGCCTGCGCCAGAGGTTCTCCGAGGGGACCATGCACGCGTTGGGGCTCGTCATCCTCTGCGTGACGGAGGGCGTGGATGAAACTTTGAGGATGGCGCCAGCCGCGCGCACTAATAGCATCAAGCCCATTAAGGCTGCCTACAAGCGCTTCGCCGCCGACCTCCCGAGCCCGCCAGTCTGGGTGGAGAAGTTGCCGAGCAGCCCGGAGGCCCTGAGGGCGCAGCACCCCGAAGTTTTCAAGGCAGCGTACCCAGACGGCCTCGGGGAGATGCAGTTCCCCTTGCCAGTGCGCGTCTTCCGAGAGCTGGTGTCAGTCACCAAGATGCGCGTGCACGGTTCCTCAAAGAAGAGCCCCTCGGCCTCGGTGATGTCCGCGGCGCCAATGACTGAGATGGGGATGGTCGTCAGCATGTTGGGCGAGGCGCTCAAGAGCGTCGTCCAGCAGGGCCAGCCGAAAAACGACATTGGCTTGCGGATGCTCACGCAGACGCCGAGGAGCAGACCTCACGTGTCACCAGCCCCGCCCTTGCCGATCCAAGACAAGGCCTCAGAAGATGAGGCCGAGGAGGTCGACCAGCACGAGGCGGGCCAGGAGCAGCCCGCGGAGGCGAAGAAACCGCTCACGGTGGATGAGGCCACGAAAGCCCTCCTGGCCAAGTCGGGCGTGAAGCGCAAGGCAGGGGGCCCTCCCGCGGCGAAGGCCAAGGCGAAGGCCAAGGCCAAGCCCATGAAGGCAGCGAAAGACTCTGGGAAGGGCTACAAGGCCACGGTCACAGTGTCGTACTCTCACGAGAAGAGCCGCCAGCAGTTCCTGGGCCGCTGCAGCGAGACCAAGAGCGCCGCGTTTTGCTACAAGGGGAAGAGCAAGAACGCGGTCGAGAACGAAGTCAAGGCCCCTTCGGTAGTTCAAAAAATCTCATACGCAAATGCGTGGCACTCACGCTCACAGGCCCCCCCCCCCAGCCACTAACCCAGCACGAGTGCCGCGCATGCGTTTGTGCATTGCGCGCGTGGCCCCTTGCAGGCGTGGTGCCGCGAGCAGTGCAAGAAGTTCAAGGTGCCCATCTCGCCGAAATTCAAGGCCTGAGATGCCCCAGCTCGCACGCTAGCCTGTCGGTCAGGCCAGCGCGGGATGCGCGCACAAGGGGGGGGGGGCGTCCAGAGCAAAACGCACCGCCCCTCCTATACTTTCCTTTGCTCTGCCTTTGCTACTCCCAGCGGTGAGCCCACCGCTACTCCATGCAGCTATCAACTATTATGACAATCAGCGGTCTTCCAACCGCTTTCTCCATGGCAGCGGTCTTCCAACCGCTTTCTCCAGCGGTCTTCCAACCGCTTTTCTTCTTATTTTTGCACCTGCGAACCGCAAGTGGCAGAAGGAGGAGCAGGAGCAGCAGAAGGATCAGGAGGGGGAGGCGCAGCAGCAGAAGGAGGAGGAGGAGGAGGAGGAGCTGGGGGAGGAGCGGAGGAGGGCAATCAGGGGAGTAGCAGGTGGAAGGGGCTGCAGCAGAAGGAGGAGGAAAACCAACGATGCTGTCTGCAGCCATTTGCGGCTCAAGCGCTCCAGGCGGTCGGACGCGCCTCCCTGGGCTCGCTCCTGCCATGGCGACGCCCACGCTCAGCTTCGAGGAACTCCTCGATGAGCTCGACGCCGCCCAGAGGTCGAACAGCAGCTCGAGCCATCAGCCAGCCAGTACGCTGGACGAGATCGTGGAGGCGCTGCGGCAGCCAGCTCCAGCTCCAGACGAGGATGAAGCAGGCGGCTCCTCGGCTCGCATGGACGACCAGTCGGACGAGTTCGACGGCGAAATCAGCAGGCTGCTTCACGCTCGCGAGGCGGCGCCAGAAGAGCCGAGCCCATGGGCGGTCAGGCCAATGTCGATCGGCAGATCAAGCGGCCTGACGTCCGACGAGTTGCAGACCCTGCGCACCGAGGAGCGCCTTGCGAGGGCGGGCAACGTGCCTTGGCAGGAGCGCGGGCCAGATCCTGGCTGGGGGATCGCGGCGTGGAGGGGCCAACCTTTGCGTCTTGGCCGTAACGGTGGGCAAGTGCGGTACGCGAAGCGGGGTGGCAGAAACAAGGAGGTCTACCGCGAGCTCGCGAGGCAGGGGCGGCTCACGCCCACGCCAGGCGGCACGCGCTCTGAGCACCTGCACCTCTCGAAGGGCAAGGGCGACGGCAAGGCTGCGTTCGGCAAGGACAAGGGCGACGGCAAGACCAGCAAGGGCAAGAAGGGCGAGGGCAAGAAGGGCGGCCAGAGCCCAGGCTCCAAAGGCAAGGGCAAGCACAAGGCCTGAGCCGCGCTCTCCGAGGTCGCCGACCAATCGGATTGCAGCGTGGGATTGCGCTGCCACAGCCATTGGAAAAATAAACGTCTCGCCCCGTCCTGCAGCGTCAGCGGTTTGCCCACCGCTTGCCATTCAGCGCGTTACCCTTTCGATGCAGCGGTCAGCCCACCGCTTGGTGCAGCGGTCAGCCCACCGCTTCTCCTTCGATGCAGCGGTCAGCCCACCGCTTGATTCCGCTTGCGCTGGTGGACAGTGGATGGAATTACTTAATGGGGGGCGAAGGAGAGAGGGGATGGGGATGGAAGGGGGAGATGGCGTGGGATGGAGGGGCGTGCGCATGGAATGAGCAGAGGGCGGATTGAAAAGAAAAGGTATGGGTTTGAGGGAAGGGTGACCGAATGGAGGGCGGGGAAGGAGAGAGGGGGAGGGAGACGCAGGGGACGCCGAGCGCCGCTAACTCAATCTGTCCGTAGGCATTTCTTCCCCAAGCCGAGCTTTCGCTTCGCCTTTCGTTGCGAAACCTGCCGCCAGCTTGCCCGCCATGGCTGCCGAGGACGACGCCTGGGTCTACTACGAGATCGACGCGTGCCCATGCGCTTCAGAATGCAACGAGACCAACTTCAAGAATTGGAAGCCATGGGGCAGCACTCCTGAGGAGGCCAGGCAGAAAGTGGTCGACCACTTGATGCGCTCGGGCGTCCACGCGCAGAGCCGCGGTGACATGCCCGACGGCGTGGCGAAGGACTACTTCATCGCCCTCGTGGATGGCTGCGAGGTGCACGAGCGCCAGTGGAAGCAGCAGAAGAAGAAGCGCAAGGCCGCCGACAGCGTCGATCTCGAGGTGCAGGTGTCGCGCCAGGAGGTGCAGAGGATGATGCAGACGGGGCTCCACAGGCCCGTTTCTCCTCCACGCAGGCGCGGCGGGTCAAGCGGAAGCGGCTCGATCGTGGCTGCGCCCCACCAGCGCACCGTGCAGGAGGTCTTCAGCGACTTCGCGGACAACGCTGCGAGGTGCGGTCGCAACGCGAGGAACGCGGCGCGCCTGAGCGAGGCTGCTGCGGGGTCGTTCAACGAGCAGGCCGAGGTGTTCGAGAACGCGGCGAACGACATCATGCTCTTCCTGACGCAGCAGCACCGCGCCTCGAGCAGCCGCCGCGGGGCGCTCTGACCTCGCACCCAGGGCGCGGGCCGCGCGCGGGGGGACAACGAGCGCGCGATCTTCCCAGCGGTTGGCCCACCGCTCATTTCTCCCAGCGGTTGGCCCACCGCTAATTTCCTCCAGCGGTTGCCCCGCCGCTTTCATCCAGCGGTTGCCCTACCGCTTTCATCCAGCGGTCGGCATACCGCTTGTCTTTTCATTTCCAGCGGTTGACCCACCGCTTGCCTTTGGACGCTCAGCGGTTGACCCACCGCTTGACACTCAGCGGTTGACCCACCGCTCATTGAGAAGGCAACCCGTTGACATAGATTTGATTCGAGACTTTGGTTCGAGATTTGTTGGCAGAAGTTTCAAAGCGAAAAACTTTCTCGGTAAAAGATTCCTGGCGCACGATTTGTTGGAAAACGACCGCCCCGAAGCTAACAGAAACTAACGGAAAATAACTGTTATTTTCCGCTAGTTTCCGTTATTTCCTGTTATTTCCCAGGAAATAACAGGAAATAACGGAAACTAACGGAAACTAGCGGTTATTTTCCGTTAGTTTCTGTTAGTTCCTGGCACTGGATTTTCATTGTTTTTTTGTCTCACGTTCGTCCGCCGCGGCTCGCGTCTGCTCAAGCAGGCAAGCTTTTCAGACTCGACGCCCCCGCAGCGATACTTTCAGATGTCGGCTTCGAAGCAAGCTGGGCTGAGCGCCTTCTGGCCTCACGCTCCGCCTCCGCCTCCGCCTCCGCCCGAACCGAAGAAGAAGGCCAAAGCCACGGGCGCCAAGCGCGAGCCCGCCGGCGGACCCGACGCCCCGAACAAGCACGCCAAACACGAGGCCGCCTACAGCCCCGACGCCGCCGAGCCCGCCAACAAGCACGCCAAACACGAGGCTGAGGCCGAGCTCGACGCCCCGCGCGAGCAGGCCAAGGCCGCGGCCGAAGACGAATGGCCCGAGATCGATGCCGATGACGAGGGCGAGGCCGAGGCCGCGGCCGATGCCGAGGCCGAGGCGGTGCCCAAGGCGTCGGCCCCTCCAGCCCCTCGCGATGAGACGCTCCCAGCCGAGGCGCAGCCGCCCACCGATGAGCCGCTCCCAGCCGCTCCGCCGAAGCAGCTCGAGAACCAGGGCTGGGGCGGCAAGGCGCTCGTCCCCCCAACGCAGCAGCCGTCTTGCAAGTTCTGCCGCACGTTCCTGGATCCGTTTGCCAAAGGCGTGCGCCTCCTCAGGAAGAGTCCCCCTGTGTTCTGCTGCGGAACGTGCAACAGCAAAACCACTACCCTGGCGAAGGTGTTCGGCCACTGGCCGATCGACGAGTTCAAGCAACTCACGGTCGAAGAACAGAGCACCTTCTTCCAGACGTGCGGCACTGGCCAGGACAGCATCAAAAAGGCAGTCCACGAGCAAGTCATGAAGAAGTGGGCGCACCAGAAGACCAACAAGGTCTCTGGCGATTTCATGCCCGAGTGGTACTGGCGCAACCAGGGCATGCCAGAGGAGACGGTCAAAAGGATGAAGGACCTGGCCCCAGGGGAAGAGCACCCCATCTTCGGAGACACGTTCCAGGTCATGGTCCACGGGACTTCCGAGTCTGCGACGGAGGAGCTTGCGAGGCAGCAGATGGTCTCAGCGGCCACTCGGAAGGCGAAGGGCACCGCCGCAGCGAGCAGCGCCGCCGCGGGCAGCGGCAGCGCTACCGAGACCGCCGCCGCCGAGGGGCCTAGGGCCGCGCTTGCGCCAGCACCGACGTCCTCTTCTTCGACTTCCGACTCGGAGTCCAGCTCCAGCGAGAGCAAGAAAAAGAAGAACAAGAAGAACAAGAAGAAGAAGGACAAAAAAAAGAAGAAGGAGCAGCGCCAGAAGGAGAAGAAGAAGACCAGGGAGGTTGACAAGAGAGCGACGGAGAAGGCAGAGAAAGACAAGCTTCGAAAGCAGAGGGCTGCCCAGGCCGCCGCCGAAAAGGAGGAGAAGAGGGCGAAGCGCCAGACGCAGAGCGATGCCGCGAAGGCGCTCGCGAAGGTCTCTCCCCTCGCGTCCTCGCTCGAGACGGCACTCAACCACAGCATGATCACGGATGTTCCGAAATTCGTGACCAAGACAGCGAAGGAGGCGCTGGCCACCCTCAAGAAGTACGCCCAGGAGGCCGAAGAGGCCATCAAGACGCACGATCCGCAGCCGCTGTCGTTCAAGCTCGAGGAGGTCATCAGCGACGCGAGGGCCGCGCAGGACTCCCACGACAAGCTCGCCAACGTCCTGAAGAGCGTGGAGCAGGCCGCGAAGTGAGGGGCGCCTTCAGGGCGCCATGGCCAGGTTCGGGGCTCGTGCGCTTAGGCGCGCGGCTCTGCGACCCGCCGCGTCGAGTCTGGTTCAAACTTCGCGCCCCTCTTGTTGCCGAGCGGTAAGCCAACCGCTACTCCCCAGCGGTAGAACCACCGCTCCCTTTCCCACCCCCTGCCCCCACTCTCCCCATTCCCAGCGGTAGACCCACCGCTCCTGTCCCTCCAATTCCCAGCGGTAGACCCACCGCTTTCGTTTCAGCTCCAGCGGTAAACCCACCGCTCGCTTCAGACACCTCACAGCGGTAAACCCACCGCTCGCTTCAGAAACCTTTTGGTCCCAGTCGGACTCCGTGCGAGCTCCCATCGGGGTCCCTGATTCGAAAATGGCCTCTTGCAAGAGGCCATTTTCGAATCAGGGACCTCGCATTCAACTAAAAAGTTATATGATTGTTTCGGCGCCGATGCGAACCGATTCAAGCTACACTTTGAATTACATGATATATACTTTGTTATTCAATGTACACTTTGATTTTTAAGATGCACTTTGAGATTTAAAATGCATTTTGGATTTCAAACTGCCAGTTGATTTCCGACTTACTTTTGGTTTTCAAGGTACTCTTTGCTTTGCAAGCAACACATGCATTGTCAATATACATTTTCAGAAATCTTGTCATACCATCCCTTTGCCACTGCTGCCGCATCCCCTCCCTCGTCCCCGCGCTGCCGATGCGTTCCCGATTCGCTCGCCGCGCCCCCGCGACGCGACGCGCCCGCAGCCATTCGTGGCTGAAGGGGCCCGCGACGCGACGCGCCCGCGCCCGCAGGGAGCCGCCGATGGCAGAATCGAAGCCTGCAAAAATCAGGAGGCTCTTTGCTGGCACAGGATTGTCGAGGAACCATACGCAACTCTCGGAGCTACTGCAGAGATTGCGAACCGCTGACGAAGCTGACAGGGAGGCTGCTCTTGCCTGCAATCGCGGCCACCTGCAGCGGGCCCTCGACGATTTGTGGAAACAAACATGCCAGCTGGAGCATTTCGAATGCACGGCACACACACGGGGCATGGAACTCGGCGCCACGCTCTCGTTGCCTAAAGTTCTGCAGCTCGCAGCCCGCACTGCGCCAGGGTACGCCTCCCTCCTGAACGAGTTGTGGCGGCAACGCCCTTGCACTGCCGAGTCGCCATACCACCTCGTGTGTTACGCAGATGAATTCGTACCAGGTAATGTCCTCAGGCAGGACAACCGAAGAAAGTGTTTCGGCATGTTCGTGACTATCAGAGAGTTCGGCCCCCACATCACCAAGCATGTTGAAGCCTGGTTGCCAGTCATTTGCATCCGATCCACTGTGGCGAAACAGATCGAAGGGGGCACCTCGAATGTAGTCAGAACTTTTTTGCGACGAATGTTCATCGAAGATGAAATTTCTACAAAGGGCGTGTTGGTACAGCTGGACGCGGCCGCCTCTGGAACAGCAGCTATGTATTTCAAACTCGGCAACCTGGTCCTCGACGGCGACGCCGCCAGGATTGTATTTTCGCAGCTTGGGGCCAATGCCAATCTGCCATGCATGAATTGCCTCAACGTACTGCAGCTACGCGGCGATGCTGTTCGAATGCCACGGGGGTTCGTTGGTCTCCGCTGCTCATCCCCATCTTTGTTTTCGCGCGCCACAGACGGCGACATCTGGCAGAAGGCTGACGAGGTTCTTGCGTTGGCACCGAGACATCTGCAGGCTGGGCAAACAGCTAGAGGAATTAAGCGCGTCCCTTTGGGTGTGATTTTCGATCACGAGCTCAGGCCGCACTGCCCGCCGATACGGACACCCACCCACGACGCCATGCACATCTTGAACGGCATGGCATGCTTAGAGATGTCTTTGATTTTGGTAGCAATGTTTCGGCACAGCTGGCTTTCATGGAGCGGCGTACGCACGTGGATGGAATCGAATTGGAAATTTTGCGGCGCTTTCTCAGGGGCGTCTGCGGAACTCAAGGCGGCATGGAACGACGCTCGGCAGAAAGCTTTCCAGAAGAACAAAGAGTTTAAAGCTGGGGCGTCCGAGCTGATCATGATTATTCCGCTCTTCAATTATTTTTTGCATTGCGTGGTGAAGCCCTGTGGTATTCTGGACAAAGAGATTCGTAGTTTCAATTCTCTTGCGCTGATTTGTGGGTTTCTCAAGCAAGGTAAATTTGGCAGGGACGTCAGCTCCACTGCGAGTGGCCTCGACGCGATGTTCGCCGAGCACGCCGAAGCTTTCAATGACGCTTATCCTAAAGGTGACGTTATCCCTAAAGCTCATTGGGGCTTTCACCTTGCGCACCAGTTACGCCGAGATGGGTACAGCATCGATTGTTTCGTGGGCGAACGCCAGAATTGTATCATGAAGAATTGCGCCCAGTCTGTTAAGAATACGAGATCGTTGGAAAAATCAATTCTGAGTCGCGTGCTGGCCGATCGCCTTGGAGCCCTGGCCGATGCTGATTTTTTTCTGGACCGATTGCACAAGCCAGAGAGCTCGCCGACGTTGGCCAGAGCGGCGGGCGTTTCGTCTGCCTCCATGAGCGGTTCTATGAAATTTCGCGGGACAACCCTCGCGGCTGGAGACGCTGTCTGGTGCGACGGCGTTGTATGCATCGTGGCTGGCTGCGCCTTTCTGGACACCGCGCCCGTCATTGTCGTCGACGAGATGGTATTTGTGGAGCAGGTGTCGCCAGCCGCTTCTCGCTGGAGGAGCGCGCCAGGAGGTTCTTATTCTCTGGTGTTATTGGCCGACTGCGACGTGGTCTTGTCAGCAGGCTTTTCCTGGGATGGAGATGGCGTGGTCGTTCTTGCCTGGTGATGTGGTGCAAAAAACATCCTTGCGCTGGAAAAAGAACATCATCATTGTCCTTTCTCCTCCCTCAGCGGTGGGGCTACCGCTTGCCAGCGGTTGTCTACCCCTACTTGCTTGCATAGCGGTTGGTCTACCGCTCCTCGCATAGCGGTTGGTCTACCGCTCCTCCCGCCCGTCCTCTTTCTCCCGCCCCCCCCCTCTTCCCCTCTCCCTCCTCCGCCCCTCTCTCTCCAGCCCCCCCCCTCCCTTCCGAAATAGTGAAAAATAGCGGCGCTATTTGCTTTATTTTAACATGAATAAGCACACTATTTGATGTTATTACTTCTTAATAAAATACTAAATATAATGCTAAATAAAGCTAAATTAGAGATCAAATAAACATGCTATTAGTAGTGCATAACCATTATAACATACATAACTTCAGCAAGGGGGGGCGATCATTGCAGTGCCGTGCCCTCCATCGAGCTGGGGGCTGGGAAGCCACCTCCCCCTCCCTTTTCGTGGCCCGGGGCCAGCCCGGGCCCCCCTTTCCAAGGGGGGGGGCTTCCGGAGCTGCCTTTTTTCTGCGCAGAGGAGGAGGAGGAGGAGGAGGAGGATGAGGAGGAGGGGGAGGAGGAGGAGGAGGAGGAGGAGGAGGAGGAGGAGGAGGAGGAGGACCCGGCTAGAGCGGAGGGGGGGCTTGGAAGCGGCGCCCCCTTCCTTTTCGGGGCCCGGGGCAGGGCCGCGCTCCCCCCCTTCAGAGGCGCGTCACCATAAGCAGGAGGACGAGCCAGGATATGCGGAGACTGTGGAACTTTACGTCCAGGCCCATGCACGACGTGAAAGCAGGATCAATCAGCACTGAACTGAGAAATCGGCTCGATTCGACATGTGCGTCGGATCGGTCTGCATTGGCGCGGAGTCGAAATCGAATCGGATGCTCCAAGATGCACAACAGCGCCGTGCGAGCATCGGGCTGCACCAGATCGTCCGAACATCGGAATCGAATTGGATAGGGCTACACGAAATCAACATCAAATCGTTTCGATCGGATCCAAATCCGCCCTGTGAGGATGAAACCGACGACGACGACGACGACGGCGGCGACGACGACGACGACGACGACGACGACGGCGGCGGCGACGACGACGGCGGCGGCGGCGACGACGACGACGACGGCGACGACGACGGCGGCGGCGGCGGCGGCGGCGGCGACGAGGACGAGGACGAGGACGAGGACGAGGACGAGGACGACGACGACGACGACGACGACGACGACGACGACGACGACGACGACGACGACGACGACGACGACGACGGCGGCGGCGGCGGCGGCGGCGGCGGCGGCGGCGACGAGGACGACGATGACGACGACGACGACGACGGGGACGACGACGACGACGGCGACGACGGCGGCGGCGGCGACGACGGCGGCGGCGATGAGAAAAGGCGGGCGCAGAGCTCTCGAGGACGCCTCCCCAGAGAGGCCGGGAGGGTGGGCCCTCCGCCCCCCCCCCCCACGGGGCTCCATCAACGCTCGCAGGAAGTCCGGCTTCGCCCAGCAGTACGGCGTGTGCACCACCACCAAGGGAGACCGACCATTCCTCGCCGCGGCGGCACCCCGTGCCCGCGTGCCGTGCCCACCCGTGGCGGGAGGCGAGGAGCCCGACGTGTGTCTGCTGCCCTCCGGCTGCTACCAGCGTCCCTCTGACCGTTGCCCCCCCAAGTCCGGGAAGACGATTGGCGGCGCGCCGAGGGGGGAAATGGGAGGGGGCAGGCCCTCTTGGAAGGCGGCGGGGCTTCTCAGAAGCCCTCCGACCTTCTGAGAAGCCATCTGCGTCGTCGAAGAGGGCTTCAAAGAAGGCCAGAGCCCTCATGAGCAGTCTGAGAAGGCCCGCCCCCTCTGCCTCTCCCCTTGGGCGCGCCACCGGGACGAGAGCAGGGGAGGCAGGCACACAGCTGGGAGTCATAGTTGACCCGAGCTTCCACAAGCATGTCCTAGCAGCGTCGATGTCGCACCCCAGCTGCTCAAACCAAAGTGTCGCCGCACGGTCTGGCTGACGCCCTGGCCCCATTCATTTCGTCCCCTGGCCACGTGCCACTTTTGCCCTGGTTGCCGCCGACGTCGGTTGCCGCCGCTGGTTCCTAAAACCTGCCCAGCCTCATTGGCCATGATATCCCTGGTTGTCGCCGAAGCCAGTTTTGCCACCACTGCCCCAGCTGCCTGCACTGGTGCCAACGCTGCCAACTCTTGTCGCCGACAGCAGTCGCCAGCACAAGCCGCGCACTGGCCCCATGCGAAGCCCTGCCAGCTCTGGCCGCTGTCAACGCTGATCTCCGCAACTAGCCCCCGCCAGCACACTGGCTGTGGCCGCCACTGCTTGTGGCTGGCACTGCCAGCGCCAGCTGGTTCCCTGCTCGCCCCACGAGTCATGGCTGCCGCCAGCGCCAGATGCCGCCAGCAGCCCCCGCCACCTCCTGGCTAGTCCCATGACTAGCCACTGCCCCTACGCGCTTCTCGGGAATAGCGAATGGGAAACGATGAGTGGGAAACTGCGATGCAAGGATGAGGGGACGAGTGAGGGCGAAGGGACGAAGGAGGGAGTGGGGGGAGGCGGGATGTTGGATAATTAGAAGGCGACAGGGGAGGGGAAGCGGGGAAAGGGTAGGAGAGAGGAGTGGAAGGGGAGAAGGAGGGGGAGGAGGGCAGGGGGAGAGGAGGGGAAGTGTGGAAGGAATAAAAAGGAGAGGGCGGGAAGAGGTGGAGAGACGAGGGTGAAGAAGGGGGGGAAGAGGAGGAAAGGGCAGAGAACGCATAGAGATGGGAGTGGGGAGGGGCAGGGGGAAGGGGAAAACGGAGGGAAGGCAGCGGTTGGAGGGGCTGCACGCGCATGCGTTCCTCGATCCCCTCATGGTGTTCCTCGTCATCCAAGGCGCCGACACTCCACTCACTACGTTGCTGCGCTTCTCTGGCTAGGGCCAGGGCGCCCCCTGTCTCGTATACTGCTATCACCACTGATAAGAAATTGAACATCGCTTCCTATCAGAAAGCGGGGCCACCCACAAGGGTCTACGGAAACAGCGACAGCGAGCCAAATGTTAGTGAGCAACAATCAAAATGGAGGGTCACACACAACCTGTTATCAGGCAAGCGCCATGCAGGCACGGATGATGCTCGGATGAAAGTGCCAGTAGCCACGGGCACAGTGCTTTCACAGACCTCCAAAAAGCCACACACACACACTGCTAAAAACGCGGTGTGCGGGGGAGGCGCGTGGGAGCTTGAGCGGGAGCGGTCTCGGACGCAGAGAGAGAGAGAGAGAGAGCGAGAGAGAGAGCAAGGCAGGAGTAGCGACAAATAGGACGCGGCTCCAGTGCTCAGGAACTCCCGAGGCCCCTCGCACTTAGGAAAACACTTACATCGCGACAACCAATGGCCATGATGAATAATCGGGGCTCTTCTGACCTGGGTCAATCCAGACCCGGGTCAGCAGGAAACCAAACAACTGCAATGCAGGAACAAAAAACTGCAACGCAGGTCTTCGCAAACCCGGGTTAGCCAATATGCGCGGCCGCCTCGCGACCACGAGCGGCTCGCTCACCCGGGTCAGCCAGAGGGGGGTCTTCGCAGGATCCTGCAGAATTCGGTGCCCTGGCTGACCCCAGTTTGCATTGACCCCCGTCTCTTGAGCCCCGAAGTAAGCACCCCAGCCAGTCGCCGGGCCTCCAATGTTCGTCCTCCCCACTGCGTCGCTATACGACGTGAGGCCACGCGACGCGCTCTTGGGAAGCGTGCCAGAGTCTAGCACGTTCAGTGCGGTCTGCTTCCACAGCGTGCAGCACGGCCAGGGCCTTACAAAAAGAGGTTCCCCTGCTAACGTTAAGTCGGGCATGTCCTCCTGCAGGCGGATTCTGGACGAAAAAAAAATAGTCAAACATACCACCCAAATAGTCAAAACATGGTACTCATATTATCTCTTTACTATTTTTGAATTTTCCTCCTGTAGAGGACCAAGTCCGACTTAATGCTAATGGCCAGACGGCCAGGGGGCGACGGGCCAGAATCCAAGAGATGCCCTGCACATGGCCAGCCAGCAGCCGGGCAACTGCGAATCATCCTTACTGCTTACTTCAGGGGCAACGATAGGGGGGGGCTGGCATAGGGGGGGATGCAGCGACCAGGAATCGGCGATACATCGCCGATAGATCGGCGATAGGCATCCGATCGTGAACCCGCACCTTCCTGGGCCGGTTGGGGCTATCGGGCCCCTATCGGCGATCAATGGGCGATTGGGGGTCGATGCGTCCCCCCTATGCCCATCCCTCCCTATCGATGCCCCTGATTACTGCCTCCACGAGACAGGCGGAATCCCGAGGCTTGACCGCTCCAAAGCGACCACCCCGACCAGCTCCGCGACTCCATCCGCTCGCGCTGCCACTGCAGCTGTCCGCTGCTCTCGCCGCCAAGTCCTCAGAAGTACACGTCGTTCATTTCTAATCGTGCTCATTTCTATGTGTGCTCGTTTCTAATTATTCCTGGCCCCCTAGTGGCCAGGAAGAGGCCCAGGATAGAACAATTAGAAATGAAAGGATCCTGGCCTCAAACAAAAAACAAATAACTTTTGTAGAATTAGAAAAGAACAGTATGTAATCCTCGGAAGCAGCCGCCACAACAATTCGCGTCTTGCGTCCGCACCACCATCACCATCATCAATATCGCTAAGAGCCTGAAGTACCGGTCGTGCATCTTCATCACCATCACCGTCACCATCACCAGCATCAGCATCATCCCCATTTCTCTCGCTGCGCGCCTGAAATACCGGTCGTGCACGAGCGCCCAGTACTTCGCGAACGACTCCTGTAGAGGAACGACAAGTGGCACAAACAAACACTTTCAGCGGTCCGCGCGGGGCGCGGGCTTCTTGGGCCAGCCCTGGACAATCTCGCCTGGCGCGCGGGGCGCGCCAGGGGCGGCGCTGGAGACGCTGCCAGGGGGGACCAGAGTCAGACCCAAGAAATCAGCGCGGATCTCCCAAAGCTTATTTATAGCAGTTGCTGTTCCTTGGCTCCTTGTCGAGGCTCCAGATGTTCTTCCACTTCCAGCCCAGCTCCAGCGCGACCGAGACGAATGGCGACGGGACCACCACGAGGTCGGCGCTCTCCTCACAGTGCCCAACTCGTGCATAGACCATCTCGCATTCCTCCTCCATCTCCTCCTTCTCCTCCTCTTCCGAGGACGACGACGACAACGGCAACAACGACGACGACGACGACTGCGCCAACGACTCCTCCCCCTCCTCCTCCTCCTCCTCCTCCGACTCTTCCTCCGACTCCGACGACTCCGACGCCTCGGACCCCGCATCCTCCTCCTCCTCCTCCTCCTCCTCCTCATGCTCCTCCTCCTGCTCCTCCTCCTCCTCCGCCTCCTTTTCCTTCTCCTTTCTTTCTCCTCCTCCTGCTCCTCCTCCTCCTCCTCCTCCTCCGACTCCGACTCCGACTCCGACTCCTGCTCCTCCTCCTCCTCCTTCTCCTCCTCCTTCTCTTCCTCCACATGTCCCTCCTAATCTTCCCCCTCCTCCTCCTCCTTCTCCACCAATCGCCCCATCCTCCTCCGATGTCATCCTCCTCGTCTTAGTATGAAGCTTCGTTTAATGGTCGTCTTTGAAATAGTATTGATATTCCTCGCCATCTTCCTCCTCCTCCTCTTCCTCTTCCTCCTCCTCCGACTCCGACTCTGACTCCGACTCTGACTCCGACTCCGGCTCCTCCCCCCCTTCTCCTCCTTCCGACTCCGACCATGGCACCTTCCTTCTCATCACCATCATCCTCCCTCCCTCCCTCCCTCCATCCCTCCCTCCCTCTCCATCCCTCCCTCCCTCCCTTCCTCTCTCCTCAGCCCCCTACCATCCCCCTAAGATCCTCCTCCTCCGCCTCCCCTTCTTCCTCTTCTTCCTCCTCCTCCTCCTCCTCCTTCCCCTCTTGCTCCTCCTCGTCATGCTCCTCCTCCTCCTCCTCCTCGCCCTCCTCCCCATCTTCGTTCTCGCCCTCCTCCTCCTCATCCTCCTCTTCGTGTTAGCATTAGTCTTAGTATCTTTCTTACTGGTATTATGATTCGCATTCGTATTATGACGAGTACGCGTATGATTAATCATGGTATTATGTGTACGTTGATTGTGTAAGTTGGTAGTGGTAGTCGTAGTATCGTTCCTACAATTCGAAGTCTTCGTAGTATTATTGCTAGCACACGCATTATGAGTATTATGTTGATTGGTTCAATTCTTATTGGCAGTGTTTCCAAGATTCGTAATACTTTAATTGCTAGCCTTAGTAATGGTAGTAAGATTATCAATGTGAGTGTTCGCATCATTGCTGGTATGATTCGCATTTGTAGTATTGTCATATGATCAATACGATTAGTGGCATCATTATTACGATTCATCATATGTTTCCTCTTCCTCTTCATCCTCCTCCACCTCCTCTTCTTCCTCCTCCTGACCCGCTTACGCCTCCCCATCCGTGCCACCTTCCCGAAACGACCAGCTCAAGCACTGGGTCTCGGAGACCGACGGCCCCACGCAACACGGCGTCCGAGCGACGGCCACGGACACGCAAGAGAAAGGGAGAGACAGAGAGAGAGAGAGGGGAGAGGGAGAGGGAGATGGAGAAAGATAAAGGGGATAAAGAGCGAGAGAAAGAGAGAGGACAGGGAGAGATGTAGATGGAGGTGGACTGGATACGGTGATGGTAATGAAGACACGGATTTGGATCTGGAGATGGAGAGAGAGAGAGAGGATATACACATACACATATACACAGAGAGAGGTGGAGATGGACAGAGAGACAGAGAAGGGATAGAGGGAGGGGAGATGGGCACGGGGAAAGACAAGACTAATAGATAGAAAGGCGAGAGAGGGAGAGAGGGAAAGAGAGAGAGAGAGGGATATAGAGAGAGAGAGAGTCGGGAGGAGAGAGGGAGATGGAGAGAGGAGAGAGAGATGGATATGGACAACACTGGCCATACATGCAACAAGTAACTTACACTAGCTTGGCTACAAAAGCAAAGTGGCTGGGACAGGTGGTGGACCGCTGCCGCTGCGACCGCAGTTGCTTTAGTTCGGATCCCGTGTAGTCGTAGCTGAATTCTAAACCAATTGTAAGGCGATGGTCGTGCCACGCATCCGGCACGGCGGCTTACGACACTCAGGGAAAAATGGTTTGACCCTGTCGCACCACATGATAAAGGGAGAGAGGGAGGAAGGGAGGGAATGAGCATCGAAGAGGGAGGGAGGGAGAAGAGAAAGAGAGAGAGAGAGAAAGAGGGGGGGAGCTTGTAGACACAGCGGGAATCTGCTCAGCGCAGTGATGCCCCGGAGGAGAAAGAAAGACAGAGAGAGGGATAGGACGTGGAAGGTCGCCCAAGAGCCGCGGAGCTCCATGCAAGACTGCTCGAAGCTGTCCGGACAGCGGGCGGGCGAGTCCAGCCACTTGCCTGGCTTCCCCCCAGCCCCAGCAGGCCCCCCATCCCTCTTCTCGTCGTTGTTGTGTCGTTTCGCCGTCAACGCTCGTCTTCGTCGATGACCACAACCGAGGATCCTAGAATCCGCTTGATGCCCTTCCTGCCCCTCCTCCCCGTTCCTCCCGCCCGTTCCTTCCCATCAACCTGCCCTCCCCCTTCTCTTTCCCCCATCCTCCCTCTCCCATCCATGCCCTTCCCTTTCCCGTCCTTCCCTACCCTCAGTATGTCTGCCTCCATTGACTTCTCCTCCCCCATTCCCACCTCTCCCCTCCTCCGCCCGTGTATTCCCGATAAACCTCTCGCCTCGCCTCGCCTCCCGTCCCCCACAGGCGGCAGAACCTGGAGCCTCACGACCCAATGCAGCTCGTCAACCAAACAAAAGATGTGGTCGAAAGTTCTGGTTGTTTGGCCAAAACATGAAAATGTTCATGACGTCGATTGTCGGGACGGAAAAAGAAAACATAGCACCACCACCTCCACCTGTGCAGAGCAGAACTTACTGACTTGCAGGAGTTTGTACTAACGAGTCCCTGCTCGGATCCCCCAGGTGTTCGAAAGACTACCCAAAAACTATTTGCAGGAGAGCTGTGGAAGTACCACGTTCTAGCTGCTAGACTTGCACATGCTATGAGTTTCGAAGGCATGCTCGACACGAGGCGACCTCTGCGCCAGGGCAGTGCTAGAATGTGCTGACTTTCGCAGCGTTCGACCAAAGTGTGCCCCACTCCACCCTGATCCCCACTCTGTGAGCATGTGATCCGCATGGGCCATGACAAGACCAACCCCGAAGAAGACCGGAGCGTCGAGCACCACCCTTCAGACCCGAGATCCACGGGCGGCCTGCGGCAGTGCGAGGGTCCCGCAAGCCGCGGCAGGACGGAGGGAGCATCTACCATCAGGTCGGGCCTGCCCCCCCCTACAGGCGGATTTCGGACGAAAAATTCAAAAGAGTCAGAAACAGTGCTCAAAAATGAGCATGAATAGTCAAACAAATCGTCCCTGGACTATTTTGGTTGCCAATTTTGAGTGTTCCCCCTGCAGAGGGACACGCCCGACTTGAAAACCAACCAGGGCCGATACCCAACCAGGTGCCGAGGGCAACGCTCGCGGCACAGGCAGGCCCTCCCTCCTCCTCCTCCTCCTCCTCCTCCTCCTCCTTCTCCTCCTCCTCCTCCTCCCTCTCGGCGCGGCGGCCCAGCATGATCTTCTCGAGGGCGTACTCGTCGAACTCGCCGTGCCATCTTCCTGCCAGGCCCCCCCAAGAGCGTCGGGGGCGGCCAAGCGGGGGGGGCGTCCAAGAGGGGGGGCGCAAATCATGGCTGGCGGCATGTGCGCGGCCCTTGGGCGGGGGCCAAGAACGTAATGAAATAAGAAGAGGCGCCATGCAATCTGGGGAGATCGGAGAACCACGCCATGACATCCACCTCCCCCGTAGTCATCACCCCCCTCTGTGCCGCCCCCGAAAGCGTTGAGGCACGGCGGCGGGCAGCACCGGGAAAGAGAGGGGGGGAAAGCAAGCGGAAAGGGAGGAGGAACGAGGACCTCCGGGAGGACCCCCCAGAAGCCAACATCACCGATTGCCCGAACGTGTCTCAATGCGTGTCGCGTTCCTGCCTTTTCGGGAGAAGCCTCCTGATCGCCCCAAGACAGCCCAAGAAGGTGGAAAAAGGGGAGATGCGGAGGAACAGGGCTGGAAGGGATGGGGGAGACGAATCCCCCACAAAAAAGGACTGGCGCATTGAAGGTACACCCACCTGGAGAGCGATGCGAACGTACACGCCTATGGTCAATGTACCAACGTTCTGAGCATACGCATTGTATTGCATTTGCGGGTAGATTGGCCATTTGATCCTCGACGGGCCCCGATTGAACCTCACGAAAGACTAGGAATACTCTGGCAGCGCAACGCTCGTGCTTGTGTTTGCGATGGGGATCATGGGCACCGACCGAACTAAGTTCCCAGATGTCGGTCCCAGTGAATCTCGCTCGTCCTATGAATTGTGTGTGCGGGGGGGGGGGGGGGGGCTCAGCCCTTTCCCGTCCCACTACCGCGCCTCACTTGACGGCCGCGCGGCCTGTCACTGCTCTCCCTGTGCCTCATTGCCGCTGCCTCGCTCGTCCCCCCCCCCCCCCCCATCGCCATTTTACCCCTCTGTAGCCGCCCCCGCTCGTCGCCTCGCTCGGCCGCCCCGGGAAACGCATTTGGACGCCGTCACTGGGACCGTGGGTGGCGCTCTTTGGGGTGACACGAAGTGGGTGAGGGGTGTGCCGAAGATGAGTAGGGACCGCATGCAAACGCACCAACTGGGCCAGTAGCTGGAGCTCCCCGTGGGCGGAACAAAACGTGAAGCCGTAAGTGAAACCCCCTTATGGGGACACGAAACGTGTAACCCTTGGAAACCCATCCAGGGAAACTGCTCAACCCGCCCATGGGCTCAGCAACCAACCCGTCATGGGAAACCCTCCCTACAATTCCCTTTGGAAATCATCAAAGCTCCACGCTGACTCTAGTGCAGTCCGTCTCCTGCTTGGGCATGACGGCAGCTTGCGGCGGAGGCTGCTGTGCAACATGAGATTGTATTTTCCAATCTGAATGTTCCATTCCCACACTGTGCACGAAAGCGTTTGGCATTTGACGCAATCTACATGTGACGTCTTATTGAGGGTGTCCAAAAAGACTTGTCTTTAAGGCTCCACTTGTTTGAAGTTGGCTGGCGTGCGACTGGTGCGCGAAAAGGGGCGAGGGGCGGCATGCGGACGCACCCACCAGGGCCGTAGATGGGGCTCCCTCTGGGGGCACGAAACGCGCGACTGGTGTGCCAAAATTTGATAAGGCGGCATGCGGATGCACCCCCTGGGTCCATAGGTAGGGTTCCCTGTGAGGGTACGGAACGGTTGCGGGGTGAACCAAAATGGGAGAAGCAAGCGTGGCATGCGGGCACAACTACTTGGGCCGTAGGTGGAGCGGCCTATGGGAACACAGAGCCACTGGGGGTGTGCCAAAATCGGCTGGGAGGCGGCATGCAGACGCACCCGCTGGGGCCGCAGGTGGAACTCCAACTCCCTTTGAGAGCACAACACGTGTGAGGTAAACGCCGGAATGGGCGAAGGGCAGCATGCGCACTCGGCGGAGCTCCCTGTGAGAGCACGAAGCGAATAAGGGGTGTGACAGAATGGGGGGGCGCCTACGTAGATTTTTCTTTGGGAACACCAAACGTGTGAGAGGCGTGCCAAAAATTAATGCGGGCGAGGAGAAAGGGGAGGGAAAGGATTGAGAAGGGGGAGGGAAGAGAAAGCGGGGCGAGCACTGTGGATGCAAAACGAGAACCCAACAACACAGCCTTAAGGCGGGACTCCCACAACTGGTTTGCATTCACCACACGTTGGCAAAAGAGACAATACTGAGAAAGAGGATCGGCAGACATCGTGGACTTTGTCAACGCTCGCACACAACACCGCACCATATCTGGCAGATTTCGGCGTCTCTCAATAAAGAGGGGCCTGCTGATTGCGTATCTTCACTACGCGGCAAGACTCATTAACATCAAGGGGGCTGGATGGCAGCCAGAACCGTCCAACCGATCAGCAGTCGACGACGTCGAACTTGAAATCCGCGGCCGCTGCAAGCATTTCAAACGAGACTACCAACACTCCGCAAACACGGTGAGCAAGGCCTTCCTGGGCTGAAACGGCACAACGCACAACGCACACACACACACACACACAAACCATGTCGAGTCGGCCCAGCTGGGCCACCCGACGCCCCGCGGGGAAACGGACCCGCGGGGCCCCAAAAAATAAAGGATAGGGGCCGCGCACCTCTTTACTGACACCAGCGCGGCGGCGGTGCGCGTCGTCCTCAGCGCCAGCGCCCGGGCCCTGCGGCCTCGCGCGCTGGCCAGCGCGGCAGCGAAGAGCGCCTGCCCACCCGCCGGGCCCCTGTGGCTCGGGGGGGCAAACACTCACAGGGCGGGCCGGGCTGGAGCTCATGGCGCCACAAAAGATTCAGCGCACACCCCCTGTTCTGAGACCCTTGCAGTTACCTGATGTTCTACGCTACCGCGCCGAACTGCCAAATTCAGGCGGCACAACTCACAGAAAGCACAAACCATGTCGAGTTGGCACAGCTGAACCACGCGACGTCCCGCGGAGAAACTACCTATCTACTCGGAGCCCATCGAGCTCGCGGTCGCCCCCGCGCCAAGGCCAGCGGCCGGCAGCTAGGCGGGGTTGGCGCCCGGCCGCGCGCGCCGCGACAGCCGTCGCTGCAGCCGCGGGCCCCTTTGGCACCACGTGCCCAGCATGGGCCGATAGACTACGGGCCCTCCTTTCGCGGCCGCCTGACCCCCAACGGTGGAAGGGGGGCGGCGGCGGCGGCGGGCCCGGCGCCGAGCGGCACAGAGCGCGCCGCCGGCGCTGCAGTCGCAGGGGTTCCTCCAGCCCCGCTGCACTGGGCGGCCGGCACTGCATATAGGCGCCCGGCACTCCTCCCACGGCGGCAGCAGCCCCCAGCGGCGGCGCCAGCGCGCCGCTGGCTAGGTCTAGGGGGGCAGCGGGCGCGGCTGCAAGGCTGCCTGCAGGGCGGCCCCAGCGACCTCCTCCTCCTCCTCCTCCTCCTCCTCCTCCTCCTCCTCCTCCTCCTCCTCCTCCTCCTCCTCCTCCTCCTCCTCCTCCTCCTCCTCCTCCTCCTCCTCGAAGCGGGCGCACTTCACTCCCATCGTAGCGGTCTCACGGGTTTCCTCCTTCGCCACGGGGGCGGCGGGGCTGGCGAGCCCTTGCGGGCCGGGGAGGCGCGGGAGGTACTCGTCCCTCCCTCCTCCTGGCCCCCCCGCCCCCCCCCAGCAGGCGCGAGCAACGGCCGCCCTGCCCCCCCGCCCCTCGGGCCCGCCCCGAGGGCGCGCGGCCCACGTCGGGGCCGCGCGCCCCGAGACGGCCCGCCTTCGTCAACATGTAGCCGACGCGCAAAGAAGTCGCGTCCCCAGCCACGCCAGCAGCCACGCTCCTCGCGCCCTCGCTCGCTCCCCACAGTTACACGTGGAACGAGGTGGTGCTTCGTCGCTAGAACCTCTTGATCAGCTCAACGTCTGGGCAGATGTAGTAGAGGGCTGTAGCGCCTCCGATTCGCAGCGCATGCGATCCGCTAGGAGACTGGGAGACCCCCCTCGCGACCTGCTCGAGCACCTCCTGCAGCTGCTCGCGCTTCTCCAGCACCCCATCCTGCCAGCGACACATCCGGAGGTGCCTCTCGGTCGCGAAGCGCTCCGGGAGGTGCCGCTGCATCCACTCCGCTGCAAGCACGGGGCACAGCGACTCGCCTGCACGGTAGTGGTCGCGCGCCGCCCCAGCTTGCATCTGGTCGGCCTTGGAGCCCCCTGCACCACGCGATGACCTCGTCGACCTCCGTCAGGTTCGACGCGGGGCGTCCCTCGTGGCAGGCGGCCACGCTACCTCCCGACAGCACCTTGCCGTGATCCCAGCCTTGGCCCCAGGCGCACTCCCCGATGCGCATCAGGACGAAGCAGCCGCGGCTAGCGCGCACCAGATCACCGCGTGGTCGGGCACGTCGGCGGGGCGGCACTCGGTCAAGATCAGCTTCATCATGCGCGCCGTGGTGGGGAGCTCACGAGAGCGAGCGCCGCCACAGCATGCAAGCCCCCTCAGCGCCAGCCAGACCCGCGACTTGCCGACCAGCGGGTCGCCGGCTCCGATCACCACGTGCTTGTGCTTGACGCCGAAGAGACGCTGCTTGACCGTCTCCAGAGATTTCTTGATGGTCACGCTCAGGTGCACGATGAACAGCAGCAGCTCCTCCTCGCCTTCGCGGGGCTACGCCGCCATAGCCGCCTCGCCCTGGAGGACGGGCGACCGCTCGCTGAACCGGCACAACTGCGTCCACTGCCTCCAGCCCAACGCGTAGACCTTGCAGCTGCTGCCGGCGGCGGCCTCCAACACCATCTGGACCTTCTCATTCTCGAGCTCCGCGAAGTAGTGCGGGGCCCCGAGCGGAGCAATCCCTGCGTGGCGCGGTGAGGCGACGGGGCACGGCTTCGTCTCGGCGAGAGCCGCTCTGGGGTCGGGGCTTCGCGAGTTCCTTTCGGAACGCCCACTATGGCCCCCACCCCGCACGGATCGACCATCGGCTCGGCCGTGCAGCCTCCCGCGGTGCGTTGCAGGCAATGCGCCCGCGTGCCGCGGGCAGTCCGCTCCCCAGACAGCGTCGTCGAAGAGGCCCAGGGGGTCAGCCTGGATCGGTCCTTGTGCTGCCTCTCCGGGTAGCTCGGCTACCGGCGGCCGTGACTCGAGCTCCCCTTCGCCCTGGTCGTCGTCGCTCTATCGGCGACCCAGGCAGGGTCGACCCGGCCAGCCAGGTGGAGCCCGCTGGCGTCTGCGCCGCCAGCATCGCCCTGACGTCCGCCGCCCGGAGCCGGAGGCGGCCACGATGTCTGTCAGCTCGGCGTCGGGGTCGGCTGCCTGCGCGGCAGCCGGCAGCAGCGGGGGGGCCGGCGGCGTGGCGCCGCCCCGGCGCCCGTCCCATCGCCTGCTCGGCGGGGGCTCCAGCGGCGGTGCCTGTGGGGGTCTCCCGGCGCTCCGTCCCCTGGGGGGGCCATGGCCCGCGCTGCTGGGAGAGGGCGCCTGGGGGGCGGCGTCGACTCCTGCGGGGGGGAGTTTTCACAGAAGGCGGTGCCATCGGGACGTGGGCGACCACCAGTGGGCGGAGGTCCAGGCGCCTGCCCGCAAGCGCCGCCGGGGGCACGTCCGGCGGGCTCTTCGGCCTCGGCGCCGCCTCTAGATGTGGCGGTGGCGGGGGGGGGGGGGGAAGCACCTCGTGCCCCAGCATGGCGGGCCGCCTCGGGTCACGGACTGGCAGCCGATCGTCATAGAGGGGGGCCGCCTTCACTGGGGGGGCTTGGGAACATAGGGATGGCGTGGAACTTCATGTTCTCATCCTTTGCCTTGGCGGTGACGGTGGCGGTATGGATGGACCCCGGCTGCTGTCCGATTTCTGGTAGCTGTCATTCGCGTCGTTGCCGTCTTGTCGGAGATCCCATGGAAGAGTTCCTCGTCGACGCCGTCTGTGTCCAGGCCGTCAGTGCCGAAGCGATCCTCGTCGTCCTTCCCGCCGGACCTGGGCCTGCTGAAGCAGCCCTTGGGGTTGGCGACGTTGTCGGTTTCTCGATGCGAAGGTGTGGGCCCTAAGACATCAGCACGTATGTCCATCACCATGCTCTTGACGTGAACAAGGCCCAGCTCGATGTTGTCAAGTGCGTTCACCTTGGTTTCAATTGCCTCGACTTCACGGGAAAAGGTTGCTGAGCATCTCGAGAACACTCTCGTTGAAAGCCATCGCCGCCGCATGTCACCGAAAATTACAAACCGGCCAGGAAGATGGTCTGGGGATCCCGGGCGGAGTCGTGAACGCCATGCCTACCATGCATATTCTCGCTACGCATGCTACGCGTGTGACCCTTTCCCTTGAGCCAAAGAGGCTCCCAAAAGGCCCCAAGAATGCCCTGGATCCCAAGAGACCTCCTCCTCCTCCTCCTCGTCCTCCTCCTCCTCCTCCTGCCCCTCTCATACTCTTATTTCTCCCCCGCGTATTATCCGAAGGGTTTCTACAACGGCTGGGGGAACACGTAGTCCGATGTCTTGGCCGAGCTTTGCCTAATGTTTGGCCACATAGACGTGTCCTAAAAGGCAGGAGGCGCGGTGATTCACCGTAGGCAGCTTCGATAACTTCCACCATTGTCGCAAGCTCTGACTCCTTCTTGGGGTCGGCGGAATGGCGTAAGCCACTTGAATCAATGTACCCTCCCCAACCGCCTCCCCTTGGGTATGGACGGGAGGGGGGCCCGAGGAGTTAGAGCGTCGAAGATGGCTCCAAGATGGCTCCAAGATGGCCCAAACGAATCCCAGATGGCCTCCAAGATAGCTCACGACAGCTCAGGATTGCTCCAGGCAGCCTCAAGCATGCCTCCAGGAGGCCCAGAGGCCGCTCCAGGACACCTCCGAAAGAACGCGAAGCCTCCCAAGGACGCCCCCGAGAGGCTAACATCCGGCCCAAATCTTGGGAAAAGCCTAGCCTCTTGCATGCTCGCCGCTTCACTTCCGATGAGCATCCGAGGCCTCACGATTGGCCCCAAGGCGGCCCGAGAGAGCCCCACGAGGGGCCCCGGGAGACCCCCAGGCAGCCCCGAGGGCGCCCGAGAGCGCCGCAAAGGGCGCCCCAATCCGGCCCCGAGGGGCAACGAACTCGTCAGGATCCAGAGGGGCAGCGGTGCTGGGGTGACCCCCTTCGCTCAAGGTTACGATGTTCCAACTTACTTCAGCCTTGATCACCAGAAAGAATTTCGAGCGCCAGAAGAAGTACCGAAACTCAATGGTTTTCACGTGTCGGGCCCTGGGAGACACTTGCTCGACACTGTTTCGACACTCTTTTGACACTTTTCTGGGTGCTCGAAATTATTTTTGGGATGCGGTCCTTAAGTAGGATGGGAACAACATCAGCCCAATGCAGAAATCCATGAAGAACTCTGCGTTGCTCGAAGGATCAGACGTCTCGGGGGCATCATTGGGAAGTGGTTGTGCGGCAAACACGGCTCCATGAAGGCCTCAAAGAGCTCACGATAGCCTCCAAGATGGCTCAAGATACCGCGTGATGGCTCAAGATGGCCTGCACGATGCTTCCAAGAGGCCCAACGGCCCCACGAGACGGCTCCGAGCGACCATAGATCATCCCAGGGATGTTCACAAGAGGCCCAAACCCTTCCAAAACCTGTGGGAAATCAATCATAGCTGCATTATGTGAGGCCCCAAGACGGGCCAAGAGCACCGAGAGGAGCACGAGATGGCCCAAAGACGGCCAAAGAGGCCTCCAAGAGTCCCCCAGGAGCCCCTAAAAGGCAGTGTTTTGGCATCCGGGGGGGGGGCAAATTAAGAACTCCCTCCTTGGAGCCATGGGGCCCAAGGTCGCCCCAAGAGGGCCCGGAGACCTTTGCGAAGAGCCCCAAGAGAGACCCAAACGAGCCCCAAGAGGAGACAACAATGCACCCAGCAAGGCGTCAAGACGGCTCCGAGACGCTTCCAAGAGGCTCCAACAGCAGAACATCTGCGAAGGCGTCCCCCTCATTATATTCTGCGTTATGTTCCTCCTCATCCTCCTCCTTATCCTCCAGCTACTCTTCCTGCTCCTCCTCCTTCTCCTCCTCCTCCTCATCATCATCAGCATCCTTCCCCCTCCTACTCCTCCTCCTCCTCCTCCTCCTCATCCTCCTCCTCTTCCTTCTCCTCCCCATTTCTTCCAAGCTAGCTCCAGGAGACCTCCACGAGTTTTCTAAGACAATTCGCGTGGGAATCAATGATGGATAGACTGGTGGGGGTGCGTGAAGCGTCAAAAGTTGTGTATCATTGCCAGTTAACCGATGCGCCCCTTCAACCGTTGACCGTACCCTCCCCGCGGCCTTCGATAGACTCGTTGGTCCTGTTGTTCTTGTATCTGCAATACTCGTGGGGCGCCCTGTGCAGGAGCACACAATGGAAGAAGAAGAAGAAGAGACAGGAGACACAAGGAGGCACTGGGTTGCTAAACATGCACGCGGAAAACAAAAAGGCACGTTGCATCGGTAGAAGGTGGACAGCACGAGAGAGAGAGAGAGAGAGAAAACAAAAAAAAGAGAGAGAGAGAGAGAGAGAAAAAAAAACAAAAAAGAGGAAAACAGGGGGTCAGAAATACACAAAGGAATCACAGAACATGTGCACAAGAGAAAGGATGCTGATGTCGTAAGCCAGACGAAAGACAGATTTAGGGGCTGCGGCAGCGGCGAATGGCCCAGGGGGGCATTCGGAGCATACAAAGCTCAGCCCGAATCGCCCAACTGCTCGAAGATACCCGACCAGCAGCACGCGCAGCACTCCCCTTGGGGATCACTCGCCCGCTACAGCCCCCAATACCCAGTCAGCCTGGACTGGACGGCCTTCGCAAACCGGTTGTCTAACGTCTTGGGGACGCGCCGCAGCACAATGGTTCGCAGCTCGTGTGGTTCGCCCGGCTAGCCTAGACTGCCATCGCCGTTCAAGCGTAGTTTCGCCAAGCAATCTACGATCTCTCTTTCCCATGCCTGCCCCCACCTACTCTCTCTCTCTCTCTCTCTCTCCCTCTCTCCCTCCTGCTACTCCCCTCCTCACCGCTTCTCGTCTTCATACTCTCGCCGTGCTCCCCTCGTATCCCCTCTTTCCTTCGTCCTACATGTTCGATCCCATCCATCTCAGCTCCTTCCCTCACCTCTGATTCAACTCCTCTTCCCACCTCCCATGTTTCACCCCGCTTCCCGCGTCCTCACTTTTTCAGATGCTGTCATCGTCCTCTCCTCCGGTGCATCCCTTCTTCCCTCCTCCCCTCCTCCTTCCCTCGTCCCCTCGTCTCTTCTACCCTGCTCACATGTCGACCTTGTCGCCATCCCCTCCTGCAGAGAAGGCTGGGCGAGTCTCAGACCGGCCCGACAAGGACCCCACGGTTCGGTCCAGGATGCCCAAGCCGAGAATTCGGAAGAAGACCAACGCCGTCCAATTATTTGCGGGGAAAGCCAAGCCACACCTGGCAACTTCAGACAGCTGTGCCAAGCTGGGACTAGCCCACCACAGGTCCCTCAGCAACGACCAGAAGTCCTGCAGCCCAACCAGCGGCCACGAACTCGTGACCATCAATAAACCGCCTGTGACCTGAAAAACTGTGGCCCAGTGGAACGTGTGCAGCGCGACACTGATGCGACTACACCATGGAACTGTACCACTGCTGCTTTGCGGTCGGAGAATGATTTACGATTTGCATGCCGACAAGCAAAACGGCGAGCGAGAGAAATCAAACATTCGCGCCTGCCCCTGGCCACAAACAGTCCTTCACCAGCACAGATTGGGTGCCCGTACAAAGACTGCATGGAGAAGTTCGTCAGGTCGCTTTCGCCCAACCTCTGGCACAGGCTGAAATCAAAAGCACTGTTGAAGGCATAGTGCCAAAATGAATGAACACACCAAAACCGCTAATACTGTCAACGCGCCATAGGCCAAGCAGGACTAGAGTAGAACAATACCTTAGCTGCCTCGTGTGCATGTGCTTGTCTTTTCTGTGTCCAGAATACTGTTGAATGGCTGGCCCATGGCTTGAAATTGCCTGTTGGCTGTGAGCTCCCGTCTTGATTGATTGATTGCACGTGGATGCATGCTTGCGTCCCCTGGCTGCCTGCATGTGCGATCGCACAGTTGATGTGTCACCCCACTGTCCTTTGCGTGGCTGCATTTGATTGCCCGTGTGCGAGCCTGCGATTGCGGCTCTGCGTGCCTACTTTTCCCCCGAACCACCCAGAACCACCTGGGCATCCTGGGACGCCCAGGCCGCTCAAGTTCTGCAAAGCATCCGTCTGGCTCGAGACATCCTCAGATACTCGTCGCGCAGGGCGCGCCATCCTCGAGCAGGCACGCAAAAAGTATACTTGTTTCATGTCCTGGCGAATTTCAAAGCCTCCAAACCTAGTGTTATATCTGGATTCTCCGCAAAACGCTCTGGACCCCGTTTTTTTGTAACAGGGAAAATGTGTCTGCGGACACCGTTGTTCATCAAGGATCCGAGATAGGGCGCACATTTTCCTCGAGCGGGCACGCGCGAAACATATTTTTCTAAGCAAGAAGCGTACGTCACCTCGCTGTGCATCCCACATATTTCCACCGGCGCACATTTTCCTCGAGCGGCACGCGCGAAACGTAAAAAGAAAAAACACAAGAAATACCTCTCTATTCATCGCGCAATCCCGCTTCAAGTCGACTTCGGGGGTAAATCTCTAAAAGACAACCCTGGCCCAAGCCCTTTCCGAAAACAATGATGTTTGACTTCTCGCCTCCTTTTCGCTTCCGATGCGCCTTTGAGGACTCAAGATGGCCCCAAGATGACCCAAGAGAGGCCCAAGAGGGGCCCAAGAGGCCCACCAAGACGGCCCCAAGTGCGCTCAAGAGCAGCCCAAGATCGCCCCAAGATTGCCCCAAGAGGCGGTCTCGATGGCCCAAGGGAGACGCCAAACGTTTCGACACCCCTCTTTCACCGACGCTCTCCACGATAGCCGCAAGAGGCCCTCCAGGGCTCCCAACAGGCCCCCAAGAGAGCCCCAAGAGCCCTAAGAGGACCCCTAATATCCCCCAAAAGAATGTCAAGAAGGCTCCGAGAGGCGATTTTGAAGGCTCTGTCCTCGTCCTCGTTGTCATCCTCCTCTTCTTCCTCCTCATTATCCTCCTCCTCCTCCTCCTCGTCCTCGTCCTGCTCGGCTTCCTCTTCCTTTTCCTCCTCTTCCTCGTCGTCGTCGTGGTCGTCGTCTTCTTCTTCCTTCTCCTCCTCCTCCTCCTCCTCCTCCTCCTCCTCCTCATCCTCCTCCCCTCGCCCCCACGCGGGCCCCAGGGATGGCCTGAAGGGGCCCTCCAAGGCCACCACCTTGCTCCCAGAGATCTTTCTGTTCACCCTGGTTGCCCGCTCTGGTTCACTATATGTGTCTCTTCGTCCCTTTTCCCGTCAACTCTGATGGGCAGGGTTTCCGAATGGGCTGAGGGGAATACTTTTTGATTGCGACCGGGGCGAAGAGAAGGTCGGGTGGCGTCCCGGGAATTGCAGACTAGCAGCGGCCTAAATTAGCGCAAAGGAAGAGGAAGGGCGAAAAGAGAACAAGACCAAGCAAGGGAGCTGAGGGGGATACTTTTTTGATCGCGACCGCGAGCGGGCACCCGCGCGGCGTCATAAGGTCAAGCGAAGTGCGAAGCCGTGCAAGTGCAAGGCAGCGGAAAATGTACGGGGCCACTACGCAGAGGCAGCGCAAGAGTGACGAGGCTGAGGGGGATTCGCGAAGCGTGAAGAATTGCGATTGGTCCGTGCTGTGCTGCACTGTGCTGCACCATGCTGTGTTGAACGGTGGTGTTTTCTGGTGCGTTGTGGGTCTAGCCATCCTTGACGCCCCAATCCTGTCCGAACTGATCTGGATCTTGAGCTCACGCTGTCTACGCGCATGGCTCGCCCAAAACAGGGTGCAGTCGAAACATGCGGGGCGTTCAACCAGCTCGAAATCAAGATCCAAGTCAGTGCCGACGTGAGACGAACCGAACGGGGGGCGAACCCGAACAGAAAAAAAAAACGCACCGACACGACAAGGCAGCTTTCAACGATGTAGAACCAGCGTTTCGTGTGAGGCATCCTCAACACATCCTGCAGACAAGCAGTCTGCTGCAGGCGAGGCCCTCGCTCGAGGCATGCTCGACATATCCTGCAGAACAAGCGCTTCGCTCGAGACATCCCCAAGCCATCCTGATGTTAGACACCCGCCTGGGCGACCTGGACACCTGAAAACCAGCGTTTCGCTCAAGACATCATCAACACATCATCATGTTAGACACCCGCCTGGGCGACCTGATCACGTGCCAACGACACAGGCACCGAACGCATGTTGACTATCCTCTCCGCGCGCGCATCTGTACGAGCGAACCGTTCGAAGACCGCGTGTTGTGTATCCTCATGTGCGGCCTGGGCACGCGAAGCCATGCCAAACGCACAAGCGCCAACAACATGCTAGATACCCATCCACCATCCGCGCACGTTCTGTTACGTGCGAACTGGCCGACGCCCTCATGCTAGATCTCCCGCCTGTGTGGCGTAGACACTTGGAAACATGTGCCAAGTGCACAGGCGCCTGCGCAGGTGCCAAATGCATGGTAGATACCCTCTCCGCGCGCGTATGTGCGACGTGTGGGGAGCCCGACTGCCACATGTTAGATACCCCTCCTATGGCGTGGGCACATGAAAACATGTGGCAAACGGCACAGGCGCTTCGCGCATGTTAGGTACCTACTCCGCGCGCGTGTGGCCACGACCCATTGTGAATTAGGCTGTGTCCGCGCTCCCACGGCCACGATCCCTCGTACATTGCACTGCGTCCGTGCTCCCAAGGCAAATCCCTCGTGACTGACGCTGTGTCCGCGCCCCCAGGGCCACGATCCCTCGTCAATTACGCTGTGTACGCGCTCCCAGAACCACCTGTGCATCCTGAGGCGCCCAGGCCTTTCACGCGCTGCAAAACAAACGCTCCCCATCCTCGAGAAACCTGCCTGCGCACGGCGCGCCGTCCTCGAGCGGGCACGCAACAATTCTCGCCCCACGAACCCGGAAAGGAATATAGATATGTAGGGCGTGGCAACGTTTTGACGACACCTGTTTGGGCGACGGGCAAATACAATGCTGAATGTATCGATCTTGACGTACCGTGCCGAGGGCTGTGCTGTGCTGCGCCGTGCTGGACTGCGATGTGCCATGCCGCGATTCTGCTCTATAGCGTTGTGGATCGAGTCATCCTTTGCATCTGGGTCCTGACCGAACTGATCTGGATCTTAAGCTCGAGCTGCCCGAGCACACATTAACTGCCCAAGAGCTAATTTGCGAGGGGACATGCTAGGAGGACGCGCCGCGGAACGGCCCAAGAGATGCGCCAGGCGACGCGCCAGAGGACGTGCCATGGGGACGCACCGCGGGACGTGCTAAGGGGACGCGCTACGGAACGTGCCAATGGACGTGCCACGGGACGTGCCAGGGGACGCGCCGCGCGACGTGACAGGGGGACTCGCCACGGGACGCGCCACAGATCGTGTCAAGGAGCGTGCCTATTTGCAATGCTGAGTGTATCGATCTTGCTGTACCGTGCCGAGGACTGTGCCGTGCTGCGCCGTGCTGGACTGCGATGTGCCATGCCGCGATTCTGCTCTATAATGGTGTGGATCGTGTCCTCCTTTGCATCCGTGTCCTGACCGAACTGATCTGGATCTTAAGCTCGAGCTGCCCGAGCACGTAGTAGCTGCACCAGAGCTAGTTGACGGGGGAACATGCCAGGAGGACGCGCCGCGGAACGTCCCAAAAGGACGCGCCAGGCGACATACCAGGGGACATGCCACGGGGACGCACCGCGGGACGTGCCGAAGGGACGCGCTACGGAACGTGCTGGGGACAAGCGTTTCGCTCGAAGCATCCTGCCCAAATCCTCATGCTAGACATCCGCCTGGGCGACCCGGACACGTGCAAACAAGCGTTTCGCTCAACACATCCTCAACACATCCTCATGCTAGACATCCGCCTGGGCGAACTGGACTCGTGAATACAAGTGGCTCGCTCGAGACATCCTCAAGACATCTTCATGTTAGAAGTCCGTTTCAGGCCCCAAGGAAGGCCCCAGGAGGCCCATGTTAGACACCCCATCAGGTGGCCTGGACACGTTAAAACACCTGGCTCCGCCATGTTCAATACCACCCTGGACGGCCTGGACATGTAAAGCCACGTGGTTCCAAATCGGGACAATCATGGTAAGTACCCCCCTGGGTGGCCTGGACACGTAAAAGCACGTGGGGTCAACTCTGGGCAACCATGTTAGATTCACCATGGGTGGCCTGGACACGTTAAAACACGTGGTCCTTGCTCGGGGCAATCATGTTAGATTCCCCCTTGGTGGTCTGGACACGAAAAAACACAATGTGCCAGCTCGGGACAACCAGGTTAGATATCCCCCTGGGCGGCCTGGACGCGGAAAAACACGTGGTTCCAGCTCGGGACAGCCATGTTAGATACCCCCCCTTGGTGGCCTGGACATGAAAGAAAACACAATGTGCCAGCTCGGGACAACCAGGTTAGATATCCCCCTGGGCGGCCTGGACGCGGAAAAACGTGGTTCCAGCTCGGGACAGCCATGTTAGATACCCCCCCTGGGCGGCCTGGACGCGGAAAAGCACGTGGTTCCAGCTCGGGACAGCAATGTTAGATACCCCCTGGGTGGCCTGGATACGCTGAATTCGCGCTCCCGATCGAGACATCCTCGCAATGTCTTCCCTGGAGAGGCCTCCAAAGCGCCAACCCCTGTCCAGAGCAAGAAAGCATCATTCTTCTGGATTGGGATAGATGTTCGGGTAACGCTTTGCGGCCCCCCGTGCGCTTCCTGATAATTCGGCGTTGGGCCCGACGTCATGTTAGATATCCCTCTGGGCGGTCTGGACACGTAAAACCAGATGGTTCCAAATCGGTACTATCATGTTAGGTACCCGCCTGGGTGGCTCCGACTCGTAAAAACACGTGGGACCAACTCTGGGCAACCATGTTAGATACACTCCTTGCTGGCCTGGACACGTAAAAACACGTGGTCCTTGCTCGGGGCAACCGTGTTAGATACCCCCCTGGGTGGCCTCGACATGTAAAACACACAATGTGCCAGCTCTGGGCAACCATATTATATACACCCCTGAGTGGCCTGGACATGTGAAAACACGTGGTCCTTGCTCGGGACAGCCATGTTAGATACCCCCCTGGGTGGCCTGGACGCGAAAAAACACAATGTGCCAGCTCGGGACAATACACTCCTGAGTGGCCTGGAGACGTTCAAACACGTGGTTCCAGCTCGGGACAACCATGTCAGATATCCCCCTGGGTGGCCTGGACATGTAAAAACACGTGGTTCCAGCTCGGGACAACCAGGTTAAGATACCCACTGGGTGGCCTGGACATGAAAAAAACTTGGTTCCAGTTCGGGACAATCGTGTAGGATACCCTACTGGGTGACACCCCAAAACACGTAGTTCCAGCTCGGGACAACTGTGTCAGATACCCCCCTGGGTGACCTGGGCCCTCGTGGGGCCTCCTGGAGAAGACCAATATATAGGAACACACGGAAAAAAACACGGGTTCGTGCCCCTGGAGAGGGTCAATCGATGGGAACACACGTAAAAATATACGGATTCGTGCCCCTGACCCACATGTGTTCCGCACCCTGTGTTCTAACGATCGGGATTTCAAAAACCAGCGCTCCGCTCGGGAAATTCTCAAATTGTAATTCGCCGGCCCTACGCGACCTCATTATGCATCGCAAATAAATTCGCCGGCCCGTCGCAAGTAAAGACCCGGACTTTGGTAACAGAACTCATAGAGAACCCTGGGCCCACGCCCTTTCCGGGAAAAAGTCAACATTCGCCAATTCGGTGTAGAGTTTTAGGGTCTCCGAACCTCGTACTTTAGTGGGGATTCTGCGCAAAACGCTCCGCACCATCTTTTTTACTAAGGAAGGCGGGTGTCTGCAGACCCCATCAGGCAACGAGAATCCGAGACGGGGGGCGCATTTTCTTCGAGCGGGCACGCGCGAAGCACGCATCTCCCACGCCGAATTCCGAATGCCACGGAAATTCGCCTGCCCACCTCAGCGTGGCAACAGGGGACAGCTTACCTGCAAAAAGGGAACCCTGGGCCCGCGCCCTCTCCGGAAAAAACTGCAGCGGAAGCCGACCGCTGAGGCTGCAGAGGTAAACCCGCCGGAGCAGGCAGGCGTTCACTTTTATTGAAGGGGCCCTGGGACACGCAAACCAATAGACACAAATAACAGGATCCCCCATATTTTCCCATCTTTTCTGGGTGTTTGTCTTCCCCCCACTTTCCATATTTTCCTACATTTTCTTGGGAATCGACGATTAATTGTGTCTGTGTGTTTTTGTCCCCTCCTGATTTATGTCAGCGCCTCCAACGCGGAGCATCCGAGGGGCACGTCGTCCCTGCCGCGACGATCGCTCGTGCGCAAGACGCATGCGATGGCGACCTAATTAATGATTAGCGCATGCAGAGGTGACCCCGCGGCTATCAGCATGCGGCGAGCCAGCGAGGCAAGCCCAGCGCCAGGTAACAACATGGCTGCAATGAGTCACCGTCCCGCGACCGGTGCATTTGCATGCAAGAACATGGCGGGCCGGGCGAATGGAAAACAACCGGGTAGCATGCTCAGTACAACACCTAGATTCCGCCGGTCTGGTTCTTTCAGGCACGCGGCAAACAGTGCGCATTTGAGCTTCGACACAAAACACACGCTCAGCATGCGTATGCTGTGATTCTGGCTGAGACTTGACAGTGACCAGATGGTGCGCATTGTGTGGAAATCGCTCGTGACTGCCACTGGGAGGCGGCTTAATTGGGTTACGACCCTGCTGTCGGCGGAAACGGAGGTTCAAAGACGTATCAACGGATGTGTGGTTTCGAACGTGTCCCCCGCTGCTCAGAACGATGGCTTCGGATCTGACGCTCACGAATTCAATCTCTTCCGATTGAACTGCAATCGATTCAAACTCCCAACAGCTATTCTCGTTGAGTCGTCTGCTGCGGCCAGCCAATGATCAATGAGGGTCACCAGGCCGGCTCCTCCTCTACTTATGTTGTTCCCATCGTACTAAAGGACCACATCCCCGAAATAACTTCGAGCACCCGGAAAAGTGTCGAAACAGTGTCGCACCAGTGTCCCAGGGCCCGACACGTAAAAACCCTCGAGTGTCTGCGCTTTCTCTTGGTGCTCGAAAACCTTTCTGGTGGTCAAGGCTAAAGCAGGCTGGAACATCCTGACTCTACGGATTCCGAAGGCCGCCCACTTTTGTCCGGCGAAGGATGCTGAGGGGGTCAGGCGCCAGGCACCCGCAGCGGTGGTAGCGCACACACACACACACACACACACACACACACACACACAGCGAACCCGAGAATCCGAACCAGCAGACCTGAAAGCGCCTAAAGAAGGAACTCAGAAGCCGCACGCGCTCGAAGGAACACGGGAAGGAAAAGGGAAAGGGGAGCGATGGGGGACGGGAGAGGGCCGGAGGTGCCCAGCCCAGGCTCCTGTGCTCCTGCGCTTCGCGGGCGCGGCACGGAGGGGAAGGGCGGGGATGCCCACTGCCTGCTGCCGTCTGCCATCCCCCACTGCCACCCTCGGCCGTCGCAGCGGCGGCAGCGCCTCGGCAATCGCAGCGGGCCTCCCGGCTCTATCCGCGAGCCTCCGCGCTGCGCAGTATCCCCGAGCCCTCCGAGGCCGCGTGCGGGCCAATAAAAACACCCTCCGCGCCCTGCGCCGTCCGAGAGGGGAGGGGTGGAGAGGGGGACACCTGCGAACCCTACCCCTGCCCCCCACGACTTCTGGAGGGGAGGGTGGGGTTCACTGCGCTCGGGAGTTCCCGAACGGATGGCACCCCACCGTCCCCCTTAGAAATCGTGGGGGGTAGGGGTAGGGTTCGCATGTGGCCCCCTGGTGGCAGAAAGGCAAGGGAGAGCGAGCGGGAGGGCGGGTGGGGCGCAGGACGGAACGGGCCGCGTGGAGAGAGGAGACAGCAATCGAGGGCACAGGCTTGACACGGGTGGGCCGGTGCCTCTCCAACTTCGCGCCATCCAGCGGCTCGATCGATGAGAGGTTTTCGAAGAAGTCCTCGGGCGCGCTCCCAAACAAGCCTGCCCAACTACAGCATACTACCACCCGCTGTTTCGCGTACTTGATATGGTGTGTCGGATATACGTCCTCTTCTTGCCTCGCCCGTATGCTCTGCCCGTTCATACATGATGCTCCAATAGATGGACAATAGGTTCGAACCCTTACACATTCGAGGGAAATTCTACATCACCCCCGCGCCCCCGACATCAATGTTGATCTCAGTAAAGGCGGTGCTTTGGGGTTCGAGTAGTTCTGTCCACTCACGCCCCCCCCGTCGCGCGCCCCCGACATCAATGTTGATTTCAGTAAAGGCGGTGCTTTGGGGTTCGAATACTTCTGTCCACTCAAGCCCCCCCGTCGCTACGCCATCAATATCAATTTCGGGGGGTCTAGGGGGCATCTTGGGCCACAGGGTTCGAATCGAATGTCCGTGTACGGTTCTTTCTCGTCTATGTTTCCTCGCTCCCCTGCGCAAGCAGTGCCTGCACTAAGGACTAAGGCGCTCACAGTCGGCATGGGTTTCGGGGCTTTCCCCCCGAACGCCGCCCGTGGTTGAGCAGGGGCCGACCGTCCCGGCATTCCTATAGTCATACCACGAAATGTTCCTAGAACCCAAACATGCTTTAAGAACAAGAACGATGTTCTTAGAACGTAAACCCGACGCGATAAAACAAGACAGACTCCGCCGGAAAGGTTTTAAGAGCATTTCGTGGAGACCACAAAGGGTTCTTAGGGCTGTAGGCGAGCCAAGACGCTTCGCCACTGCTTGACGAACGCCGCCCGTGGGCGCCCCGTGAGCGCCTCGGGCCACGGCGTGGGCCTCCCACTGTTTTCGCCCGCTCGCCGGCCGCTTGGGGGCGCCCTGCGGGCGCCTCGTGCGCGGGTTTGGCTCCCCGGGCTCCGGGAGGGGGAGGAGGAGGAGGAGGAGGAGGACAAGGAGGAGGATGAAGGGGAGGAGGAGGAAGGGGAGGAGGAGGAGGAGGAGGAGGAGGAGGAGGAGGAGGAGGAGGGGGAGGAGGAGGAGGAGGAGGAGGAGGAGGAGGAGGAGGAGGAGGAGGAGAGGAGGAGGAGGGAGGAGGAGGAGGAGGAGGAGGACGAGCAACGCTCCCATGAAAGAGACGGGAAGAGGGCAGGCGGGCAAGAAAGGCACGAGACGAGGGCAAAACGTTCAAGATCCACGTCTCTCTACAGCAGCGGCGGCGGCAGCAGCCAGCGGTGGGGGCGGGGGCGCGCCTGCGCCCGCGGGGCGAGAGGCACGGGGGGGGACAGGTGCACCCTGCCCTGCGAACGGGTCGGCACCTTGAAGAAGGAGCCGCACAAAATGAGACCTTCCTGCAGCGGCCCTGACCCTCGCGTTCACGAGGGAAGAGAAGGACCGAGCTGAATACAAATCCTGGACACGGAGCGAATTGTGGCTAGAGAGAAGGAGATCAAGAGCAACGAGACACGAGCAAAGGGAGGCGAGAGACGGCCGAAGAAGACAGGAAAGGACAAGCAGGGGGGGGAGGGGACACCAGACAGAAAAACCAGGCCAGGATCGGGAAGACGGGGAAGAGCTTGGCTCAAGACTTGATGAACAATAAGACAGGAGAGGTAGTGCTTCATATTATCTCCATATGCAAGCCCACGGATACGACAGTCATTAGTCCCAGACCGATATCTGGCAGACGTATTCCAAGCATTACACAAGGTTTTGACATAGGCAGTAGCACAGGACTCAGGCAGCTTACGAGCGGCATTCCGAAATCGGCGGAGCGTGAGATGACCATCCCTAGAAGAGATCGGGCCCCACTTCCTCAACGTTTTCATGAACATCTTCATGCAGGAGAAGGAGTCCTCGGCCAATATATAGGCCTTCAAACATTTACTCGTGATTTTCGGCATCCACCTATCAGTCGGCATATTATGTATCTGTTCCATGAAATGAGATACGTAGGTAAGATGGGAGAATATAGAATTGCAAAAATATGCGCCGCACTTCCAGGAAAGACAAAGTTCAGTATCTGCATCTGAGCCCTCCAAGAGACAGCGCGCATTATAAAATGCACCAGACCTCGAAGCAAGACGGTAGGCAGCAGCAAAGGCGTAGTGGGCCAGTGAGCGCACCGATACTCCATGCCCAAATTCAAACATATGAAATAGCATGGCCGAGTTGATCGCATTCCTCGGGCCTGCGGTCAGCAGCTGGACGCACTCACTTTCCAGATTCAGTATTTTCCTGGTCGGCCTCCGAAATTGGGCAACATAGCCAAGCACGGGGAAACCCAAAGCGTTGTAGGCCACGATGTTTGGCCCCAACGAGCGCCCAAGCCCACGGATCCTCCGAGTCCTGGCAACCAAGGAACTCCCAGGACCACCCCACGATCTCTTCACCAAGAACACCAACAATAGTTCCCAGATATTTCCCAGAGGAGGCAACCTGAAAACGGCGAATACCGAGCCCATGCATCTTAAACTCAGCACGAACAGCCACGAGTTCAAAATCTCGCGGCATAATAATCACCGTCTTATCTGGGCGGAGAAGCAGGCCTGCAATAGCTTCTGCCCGAAGAAGGTGTCGCACAAAAGTGGGGAGATGCCGATAAATATCTTTCGACACCAGCGCTAAATCATCAGCGCAAGCAGAGAGCACGTTGTCACACCCAGGAAGAAGCCCTTGAAGGAAACGAATCAGTGGATCGAAAACCAGCGCAAACAATATGCCACTCAGGTCAGGGGGCATCCTTGTTTTATCCCGCGCCCCAAGGGAACTTTGTGCTCCTGGTTGCCTCGGAACGACACGACTACCTCCACTTCTGTATACATGGAGCGCAAGGCCGTGAGGGACCAGTCAGGCAGGCCCATCGTGGTCAAGACGCGCCACATCCACCCGTGAGCCACAGACGGAAAAGCTGCGCGGATATCAAACAGTGTGCCTCCAGCATTCCTGTAGCCAGCAGCTTCTGACCACACCGTACGGGTAGAGTCTAATGATACAACATGTTCGGTAAGGTTACGGCCGGGCACAAAACCATCCTGCGCAAGATGAATAGAACTCTGGCCAATAGCCCCCAGAGGCCTCGCAAGGGCCGCCGCGAGGATTTGTCGGCGTTGGATAAAGATAGAAACCGAACCTTGTCCACGCTACGCTGCTGGAGGAAGGTGCCGGGGTCAGGCCCACCTATGGGTGAGAACGCACCCAGCGACTTGTTCAATTCAGCAGTGAGAGTTCCACCAGAACAAACATAATCATATAATTCATAGAGAGCATCCCAACATTGTTCCCTTCCACAGATCCAGGCACTGCACGGAATGCCATCGGCCCCAGTTGCAGGGTCTTTCCGTTTCAGAATTAGCCGGTGGAACTCCATGCGGGATAGACGCCATTGCACTCCAGTCGGCACAGCTCGAATAGGAGAGCCCAGGCCAGCAAGGAGTGGGGCAAACGGTTCAGGAAGCGCAGCAGGGCCAGCGTCTTCCTGAAAATTAAAAGGCTTGGCCACGTCGCCCCAGTACTTGGCGAGTGCTGCAGCGCAGGCCTCAGGGCCCCGAGAGACAGCACCCTCGGAATCCACAATATTGTGAAGCTCAAGCTTCCGATGCGCAGGAGCCCAGGCACGTGAGAGTTCAGCAAGACGATTAAGTTACTGTTCCTTCACCTGGCGGTGTAAGTCCTGGCCCCGAGAAACCTCAGCGGTCGCATCCTCATAGAACCTCCTCTTGTATCTCATAAGAGCATCAGTACATCCAGGAATAATCAAGCCAAACCATGTTTGAAGCATCATAATAACCAGTAAGCTCAGCAGAGGCACGGCAAGCTCTCGCGACTGCCCTGAAGTGCCCAGACCGATGGGCCCGCACAAGGGCCACCATCCACGCGAGCTTTTCGGCCACCGTCCCAGGTCCAAGGATTTCGCGCTTTCTCTTCGCACGAGAGCTTGCTTCATGCATCGATACTTTAATCCCCTGAACGCGCTGAAGAGGATCAGAGGATCTATCAATCTCTTCCAGCAGTTCCAGTGAACATATCGTGAACAGCGGCGAGCGCGATACCCACCTTGGAATAGAGCCCCTCTGCTCACGCTGAAGGTCAAGCGAGACGAAAACAGGGCAGTGGTCGGACGGCAGCTTCGGGCCTGTCACTGGCCAGCACACCCCCGACCTAGGGCTAAGGCCCCATAGATCCTGAGATGGCATATCTAGATAAATACGATCAAGACGAGCAAGAGATTGCAGGGTAGAATGTTGCACAACTTTATGGGTATAATCAGGCTGGTCAATTTCGCAGAACCGACCGGACTTCTCAGTAAAGAACTTGCTAAGGGAGGCCGAGTACGAGGAAGAAGAGCAAGAGGAATCAAGTCGCAATCGATATTCCCCATCTTCACAGAAATTCCAATCACCGCCCAGATTACTTGTGGAGGAAGCCTGCGATGGGGAGAGAGTCCAGGATGCACTGCAGCAACTGGCGCCGAACGGACAGGCGCAAGCAGGGGTCAAGATGCACACTCGCGATGCACAGCCGGCCGTATTTCCCACGGAGATCAACCGATAAACATCCCCCTTCAATTATCTCGTGCGGCACGGTGCGATCAAAAAGCCGCGCCAGACGCTCATGAATCATCAGAACCACGCCTCCCGCGATTTCTTCTGCAGTAAAGGTTCCACAACGCTGGTGAACACCGAAAACACGAGCAAGGCCCAGAAGGTCCTCGGGGCTTCCGTGGGTCTCCTGAAGGGCAACGATGTCATATTTTTCCCCAAGGTACTCCGGCTTCCCCCATTTCTGCTGAGACAGAGTGTGATTGGCCCAGATGCTACCGAACAATGTGTGAACATTCCAGGTAACCATTGAGATACCTATAGGAGGAAAGAAAGGAGAGCTATACAGATCCTGGCCTGGCGGAGGAGGTGGGGGAGGGGCAAGAGGCAGCACAAGTGACGGCTGCACAGACACAGGGCGCATATCAAAGTCGCAGAAGAAGACTCCGAACACGACGAGGAGGCCGAAGAAGTGC